TATAGTGATAGTGGATGGTTGTCCTTATACACGTGATATGAAACTATATAGTGATAGTGGATGGTTGTCCTTATACATGTGATATATAACTATATAGTGATAGTGGATGGTTGTCCTTATACACGTGTTATATAACTATACAGTGATAGCGGATGGTTGTCCTTATACACGTAGAATATAACTATATAGAGATAGTGGATGGTTGTCCTTATACACGTGATATATAACTTTATAGTAATAGTGGATGGGTTTTCTTATACACGTTATATATAACTATATAGTGATAGTGGATGGTTGTCCTTGTACATGTGATATATAACTATATAGTGATAGTGGATGGTTGTCCTTGTACATGTGATATATAACTATATAGTGATAGTGGATGGTTGTCCTTATACACGTGATATATAACTATATAGTGAGAGTGGATGGTTGTCCTTATACACGTGAAATGTAGCTATATAGTGATAGTGGATGGTTGTCCTTATACACGTGAAATATAATTACATAGCGATAGTGGATGGTTGTCAGTGGATGGTTGTCCTTATACACTTGAAATATAGCTATATAGTGATAGTGGATGGTTGTCCTTATACACGTGAAATAAAACTATATAGTGATGGCGGATGGTTGTCCTTATACACGTGATATATAACTTTATAGTAATAGTGGATGGTTTTCCTTATACACGTTATATATAACTATATAGTGATAGTGGATGGTTGTCCTTATACACGTGATAAATAATTTTATAGTAATAGTGGATCGTTTTCCTTATACAGGGGATATATAACTATATAGTAATAGTGGATGGTTGTCCTTATACACGTGATATATAACTGTGTAGTGATAGTGGATGGTTGTCCTTATACACGTGATATATAACTATCTAGTGATAGTGAATGGTTGTCCTTATACACGTGATTTATAATTACATAGTGATAGTAGTTAGTTGTTCTTATACACGTGATATATAACTGTGTAGTGATAGTGGATGGTTGTCCTTACACACATGATATATAACTATATAGTGATAGTGGATAGTTGTCCGTATACACGTGATATATAACTATCTAGTGATAGTGAATGGTTGTCCTTATACACGTGAAATATAATTACATAGTGATAGTGGATGGTTGTCCGTATACACGTTATATATAACTATATAGTGATAGCGGATGTTGTCCTTATACACGTGATATATAACTATATAATGATAGTGGATGGCTGTCCTGATACACATGAAATATAATTACATAGTGATAGTGGATGGTTGTCCTTATACCCGTGAAATATAATTACATAGTGATAGTGGATGGTTGTCCGTATACACGTGATATATAACTATATAGTGAGAGTGGATGGTTGTCCGTATACACGTTATATATAACTATATAATGATAGAGGATGTTGTCGTTATACACGTGATATATAACTATTTAGTGATAGTGGATGGCTGTCCTTATACACGTGAAATATAATTACATAGTGATAGTGGATGGTTGTCCGTATACACGTGATATATAACTATATAGTGATAGTGGATGGTTGTCCGTATACACGTGATATTTTATCGCACCTCGGACAAAAATGTCCAAAATCCATTGGTTTAGAGCTGTCACGTGGTGACCCTCTAATTTTCTATATAGGGCCAGTAGGATTCCATTATAGGGCAATATGGCCGCCCACTGCTCACCGCTTCAAAACTAAAACAACAGATACCGGGTACCTGAATATTCCGAAAATGATACAATGTTCACCGTAATTCCCATTCGCTACATTGTATCGTAAAATGATAGGAGTTGCTTCCCCTATGCCAGGCAAAATTAGTAAGACGCTGTCGCAAGCGACCGTCTTTTGTTTTAGCGTGGGTGCCGTCCCCTTATCTAAGCGTTTCGGTGACATTGAGAGACAACAGCACAACAACAACATGGAGAGATTTGGGCAGACGACAACGGAAGAAATAAACAAGAAGCGACTAAACATTTAAGCAAAAAGGGTCCTCGATGCGATAAATTCGTTATATAGTCAGTTACTGACCCTCTATGGTTCTGTAGAGGGTCAGTAACTGACTATATAACTAATAACTATATAGTGATAGTGGATGTTGTCCTTATACACGTGAAATAAATTTATATAGTGATAGTGGATGTTGTCCTTATACCCGTGATATATAACTATATAGTGATAGTGGATGGTTGTCCTTATACACGTGAAATAAAATTACATAGTGATAGTGGATGTTGTCCTTATACCCGTGAAATATAACTATATAGTGATAGTGGATGTTGTCCTTATACACGTGAAATATAATTACATAGCGATAGTGGATGGTTGTCCGTATAGACGTGAAATATAACTATATAGTGATAGTGGATGCTTGTCCGTATACACGTGATATATGACTATATAGTGATAGTGGATGGATGTCTTTATGTGCCCGGTATTTTGTGTTCTTTCTTCCCCCGTAATTTTATTGATGTTTCTGGCACGGTTTTACGATCTATTTCAGTTGAAGCAAAACTCTCCTCAACTACTTTTATCACACCTATTCACTTTTTCTGTATTTCAATAAATATTTCGGAGCGCTTTGATACGTGTTTTCTCCTGTCCAACCCTCGATATCCGTGTACAAATGAAGACGACTGATAGTTAAGATATGATCAGCGTACATGTATGACGAGGGTGAGAACAGGTTAGAAACATTATCAAAGAAGGCCACTTGCCGCCTAAGCTGATTATTTTTCCAACATTTTCGAATCCCGAGCTATATTTTCCATCATAATTTGATTATATCTATTCTACAAAGTAAAATGTAATGAATGTCGTTTTCGTGTCTACCATAATGCGTATAGTCCTATGATAAGCAAGGTGATCTAGATGATCTATTTACTTAAATTAGGCTGATATTTTGCGGGCGCTCATATTTGTCACGCGATGCTAAATATGTCTCCATAATTTCTGAACTTGTGGGACAAACCTATTAAACACTGATGTCATTCTTTATGCCAGGTGTTTGTTTCAAACAATCAAAACCACTATTCTGTCGACATCAGTGGTCTATTGAAAAATAAGTAATATACGTGCATTGTCTATTGTCCGATAATGCAAGTTACTAACTAGCGAAAGTGTCGGTACATCGTTAAGGTGGTAGAAATTTCAATATTTTGGTCCTCAGTCTTCTTAAAATGACATTGTGGATAACTTTGGAACAACCGCTTAACTGATCATGACTTTTCGTACGATTGATGCGAAAGAGTTGATGTTGTATTTGTCTCAAAACAAACTCAATGCATAGCCCCTTGAGATTGAACAGAGCGATATTTCAATTAAAGTTTGTTACATATGGAACTTGAGTAAGTCTGACATTAGTATATTGTAAATCTGATGTTAAACTAGTCTGTCCGAATTAAATGTCCGTCATCACGGACATAGTCACGTCGGAACTGAATCAGTCTAGAAACAGCATTATGTATTCCACGAAAAAGTAGGTAGCTTTTAGGTTGATGACATTGCTTATTACAATGAATACCCCCCAAAAACGTCTAATACCGCCAAGGGTAATTGCTGGCTAAACGATGTGCGTCATACACCCAGGCAAAGCTTATCTGATGTTTCATTGATTTAAACATATTTTATTGATATAATCAAATGGATTTGGCACAAGTTATAACAAATTATTGAATTCTTCTCCTCAACTATAATATTACATTGATAGTGATAGCGACATATGCTAATCAAAATAATTGTATGAAAACAAGGAACATAGACGAAAAATAAAATTTAAAAAAATAAGAGAGTTTTGAATGACAGAAGAAATCATAGAGATGAGAAGAGTATGTTTCGAATAATACAAAATGTTCATTGAAAGTATGAATATTTTGAAAATACTTAAACAACTGCATGGCACGCACTAGCTACACATTCTTTTCACATCAGCTATTCGTTTGTCCATATAAAACACATTCCTTAGAATCCTTCCTCGAGTCATTCCTGTTCCTTCTAGGTAACATATCAAAGTGCCATGCAGCGGAATTACTTCAATTTGAAAAGAAAAAAATATATATATACAATTTGCCTAATCAGTAACACTATTAATTATTCTATATATATACAAAGCAGAATGAGAGGTTTAGGAGAGAAGAGATTATGACAGATTAGGTACATATACCTGTTCACACTAAGTTTTGTTTAGAAACGGTCACTTGAACGAATTAAGTCTGAACAATTTCAAAAATTCAACATTTCCAGACAATAGTAACTCGAGGTGCACAGGATGATATGGTATCAACTTATTTAACATTTCATGTCTGATGCTCCTGTATATTGGACATTGGAAAAAATAATGGTATAAGTTTTCACAGGGGTGGCCACAGGCACAAAATGGAGATTCTACAAGGTTCACACGAAAGAGATCATAATTCAGTTGGCTACAATTGTGTCTAAGTTTAGTTAATAAGATATCAAGGCGACGGGGTCCGTAATTAAAGAAACACGGTGGCTTATGATATTTCGGAGTTATGGCAGTTTTGAATTTACTAACTGTAGTTTGATTTCTAGTGGTTTTTGATAAGTTATTCCAATTTTTTGTAGCTGCTGGTATATATGATGATCTAGTATTGGTTGTTTCATTGAGTCGAACTTGAGTAGAAAATGAAATACAAAATTGTGAACGAGAGGACGAAGGTTTGTTTGAATAGCAACATAATTTCTCTACAGTACACGTGAACGAGTTCTCCCAATTCTCATAGAAATAAAAACAAGACTGACATATAAACGTTTTGTTGATGGTTTATTATAACTGACGAGAAAGCGTATGATACAGCATGACTGAACATCTGTCTGTGATATTTGTTATTTACAAACATTGACACGCCACCTCCCAACATCTGTCTGTGATATTTGTTATTTACAAACATTGACACGCCACCTCCCAACATCTGTCTGTGATATTTGTTATTTACAAACATTGACTCGCCCCCTCCCAACATCTGTCTGTGATATTTGTTATTTACAAACATTGACTCGCCCCCTCCCAACATCTGTCTGTGATATTTGTTATTTACAAACATTGACACGCCACCTACCAACATCTGTTTGCATGCAAATATTATAACTTAACTGGTACACCAGTTACAACAGGACGTGTGTATATTTTTGATTGATTACGTGTTTTATCACTTAAACCTAGGTGTGACCAAACAAGTGTAATGGCAATGGAGGGAATTAGGTCTTAACACAGCGTAGGGAAAGCTTAACACAGCGTAGGGAAAGCTTGACCAATTCCATTCCCGTTTTCACTCAGAAGTTATTAATCTGTTTATGCTTGCCCTGTAGATTCCGCGAGAAACATGTCTTCTCGCATATCTCGTTGCAATACCGGCTTTCCTCGTGTACTTGGGGCATATATTGATCAGTAGGTGTATTACCTATTAAATGTCCTATTTTTTTAGGGCAAGGCGTATACAAGAGTTACCTCCCTTCCGTGTCACTCCTGTAATCAATATCTGATTGTTAGACAGTCTGAGATACAGGGGGACGAATAAAGAACTGTAATCGGTTTTTATACCACGTATCTATAAGACCGTATCTACCACAATACGCTATGTTATTCCACTCTCAGATCATTGTATAAACATGCAGATTGTTGAATAAATATGAGTTATACACCACACCTAGTATATGACCTTTCGTAGTTTTGATTGGTCGAGAAGATGAACCTTGACCGGACGACTGTTTGCCGCGTGCTGTTTTGTTTACGTCGTCTGCTGTCAACATCCGGCAAATGTTGTTGACTTTTGCAAGGTTATGCGATGGGAAAATGGGGTTATTAAAGCAATACCAAAAGAAGATGATGCTTAAAGATGTGATCGCTAGTTTCAGGCAAAATTGCTACAGACGCTCGATATCGTTTCGACACCATACCGTCGCATGTCCAGGTCGTGAAACCCAGAGACGTAATATATATGTCTCTGTGAAACCCAAACAAGATGTAGCAGTAACAGTGTCGGACAAGTATTTCGTTCTCCCCATGTCCCGTTATTTGGAGGGCCTGTCTGGGTACAGATAGACAGCTCTATACGTCATAGTAACTCAATCAAACATTTTCCTTAATGTTTGTAAACATCTTTATTTATTCTAAGGAATTTTTCCTTTAGAATTTCAGTATCCGCATATTTTCTGCTAGTTTTAATAAATAGGACAATACACTGACATGTTATAAAATAGACAGTACAGATTTTGGATACGATTAATTACGTATCCAGGTCAAGGAAACGACGGGTTTAAATTAAGACTATCGGTATTTTATGTTTACCTGAGATTATAACAGTCTTGGATTTCTTTTTCTATTTTTTATAGATTTTGGTAAACGACGGCTATGTCAGTCGTGGGACCTCGGCTATACGCTGGGCACGTTATTTTAAGTAACATGACTAACAGATCGGCAATCAGTTACAATCAGGTTGCTATATAAAGCGTCAGGATAGGGAATGTGATGATATGAAATTCCGGATGAATATGACATATTCTCCTGATATTAGACAATCCGATGAACAAAGAAGTTAAAAATCATCTACGTCAATCTCTTCGAAGAGTTGTCGTTCCTTAGTTATACTAACGGAGTGCAAGTGTGGGTAAAGAACGACAACTCTGGGCAGAAATTGAGCCTGCGTAAGAGAGGGTACTGTATTAGATTATAGCAGAGGTCGGTACAGGCATTTGTAGGGGAATACTCGTAAGTTTGTGAGGTAGTGTAATGTATGAGTACCTGTACAAATGTATAATCAGAAGACACACGAGAAAGAATTTTGGACAAAACAAAAAATGGAGAAGAAACGATGAATAATATGGTTTGATACAGAGTTGGACAGGAAATATAGCTGCATTTGTACAAAGAAAAATAAACAAGATGATGTTTTACATTTTGGATATACCGCAGACTTTCTTCCTACTTACACGGAATAAACATATGGAGTTCCATGACTTTGATATATACAACACACACCCATTGTCTGTCTACGATGTCACAGTACCAGACAGCCTCCATAAAGCCCGCAGTACCAAGACTGTACAACTCAAAACTGGACCAAGTGTTCATAAAATGACACAATGTATGTGAATAAATAGATATGTAATCAATAAACTTGATTTTGACAAACATTTACAAACAATGACCGCACAGGTCAGCCTCCTTCCGGCGTCCGTTTCTGTACATATCGGGTAGTAACGATGATTATAACTCGCACACTGCACCAACGTTGTATCAGAATGTCTCCTTCTGGTTGCCTGACAACAAAGGGAAATGGGACACAAGGTAATTCTCTACATGGCGAATAATTGTCACAAAAACAATTACAACGTAGATCAAAGACTCTAAAACAAGAAGCCCAAAGGGCCTGTATCGTTCACCTGGATATCTAAGCCATCATGGCAAAATATTCTCCAAATACGATTCTAGAGACAGGGCCAGACACCAAGGCCAATCCTTGTAGCATATCTGTTTACCAGCGATTGTATATATAGTTATGGGATGGGGATCTCAACTGTTTCCAAGTTGTGACTCAGAAACTAGGTCCCTAGGGTTGTGGCCAGACCCCAGGGTCAATTCTGATATCATGGCTGCATTTGATGCCTAGCAATGGTATATACAGTTCTGGGGTGTGGGATCTCAACCGTTTCGAAGTTATGACCCAGGGGTTAAGTCTGCAAGGGTGGGACAGACCCCGTGGTCAATTCTCAAGTATCGTGACTGTATTCGTCTCTTTATGCCCAGCAATGGTATATATAGTTTTGGGGTGGGGATCTCAACCGTTTCGAAGTTATGACCCAGGGGTTATAGGGTGGGGATCTCAACTGTTTCCACATTGTGACAGAGAAACTAGGTAAGGGGTGTAGCCAGACTTTAGGGTCATGATTGTGTTCGTCTCTGTATGTCCAGCAATTGCACATTTAGTTTTAGGGTGGGGATCTCAAAGTTATGACCCAGCGACTATGTCTCCCAGGGTGTGGCAGACCCCGGAGCCATCATGGAATCATATGTGCAGTTATCTCTTTATATTCAGCAATTGTATGTATGGTCAGAGGGTGGGGATTTCAACCATATCAAAGTTATATACTTTTTTTGATACCATCCCTTAGCCTGTCCATTTGTTCAATTGTTTATCCCAGCCACCTAGTGATGCTTCCAGTAAATTATGGTTGATATCCATCGAAGTCGTTTAAAGCAATGTAGCCAAATAACCCTGTTTGGCGCCGCCCCTCAGTCCATAGGGGTTAGGCGCTCCATTTGTACAATTTTGAATTCCCACCTCCCATGAATGGTTTTCAACCAAATATAATTGATATCCAGTGCATAGTTCTATAGAAGAAGTTGTTTATAGCAATTTAGTCAAATCTCCCCCTTCTGGCCACGCCCCTAACCCCCTTGAGGGTCAGCCCCACCATATGTACAATTTCGAATCGCCACCACCTAAGGATGCTTCCAGTCAAATTTAATTAAATTCCAATCAGTGGTTAAGATGGAGAAGTCGTTTGAAGAAATTGTTGACGTACAGACGACGGACGACGGACGGACGCCACGGTATGGCATAAGCTCACATTGGTCCCTCGGACCAGGTAAGCTATTAAGAAAAATAAGTTTAAACGTTAAATGTGTATGTACATATTGATTCATTTAAAATCATTATCATGAAGTTTTTAGTAATAATTTTTAGATATTTTCCTTAAGTTCGCTATTTCTTTCGTATATTCATACTAGCAATCCTAATCTAATAATTAATAGATAGTGTTTCTCGACAGTTACCTGGTGTAGAACATCAGCCACAATTGGTTTCAAAGATTGCATGTAATGATTTTCGTAAAATATACTCAGAAACATACCAGACTATGTTCAATAAGATTCATCAGGTTTGAAATTTGTAATATCAAAGATTTACTTTCTACCCAATGTACGTATTAAACGTGTCGCAACGTTTCAAGACCGACTGGTCCCTTTGTCAAGCTACTCAGTCAAAGCTGAACGAAGGGGCCAGGTGGCCTTGAAACGTTGCGACAAGTTTAATACGTTCATTGTTTGTGTAGAAAGTAAAACTTTGATATATCATACCCGACTAAGTTTTCAAAACATACTCAAAAGTCACAAACTACTTACATGAAAACCGATTACGTATTGTTCTAACTTTCCTCGTAGAAATCATTGATAAGTGTTGCCCTCTTCTTCTGGTATTGTCTGTTTGACACGGCGAGACTCCGTTTCTTCCTTTTGCCAAGTGTTGGGCGTGTTTCTGTCCATACCTCCAGTATCGGCGAATAGTCATTGTTACTTAAAAGGGGAAGTCGATCCAAACATGCAATTTCTGAAAAAAAAATGTAAAAAAGTAAGAAGTAATTATAAATTAGTTAAATTCCTACATGAAATCATGGAGATGTTGTCCTACAGAAATATGTCCTAGATTAGTGTTCAGCCATTGTGTTGTGTTCGCTATAAATTCGATTTCATTGAGTAAAACACCAGAACCATGATTCACCCTTGTTTTTAATGGTTTTGAATTTAATATTCGTAACATTGTATAGGAATACGTTATTGACACCATCGAAATAATACACGCGACGTCAAATGGAATTACTGTCAATGAGTGTGTTCTATAATCGAATGACAAGCTAACTTACCACTCTCTGTTATTGGAACATACATTACGACAATGTTATTGTCAAACTCTAATAAAACAGGCACGATATTAAGTTTGACACACCTACAATGGTGCTTCATCTTCACAACTCCAGGGTTCTCTGCAAGGTGCATAGACGTTAGTGAGCATAGCCCCTGTAATTTCTTGAATGTCTAACAGCCAATGAATACGGAGTTAAAACACTGCCCTACTGGCAAGCTAGCTTTTCTAGCTGTTCAGCAACGTCGGGCGTGGTATGTGGCTTGATAGGGGCCCTCCTGCTAGTTGTATTCGGTAGCAGTATTGAGACCCTGTGGTATCATATAAGACAGGTTTCCAGTGGATAGTGAGGGTGCAGTGGTTTACAGGGAGGACCCACTGGATTCCCAAGGACAAGTCTCGGGAGAGACCTCTCGAAGGGTGCAGTGGTTTACAGGGAGTGCCCAAGGGAATCCCAAGGTCATGTCTCGGGAGAGACCTCTCGAAGGGTGCAGTGGTTTACAGGGAGGGCCCACGGGATTCCCAAGGACAAGTCTCGGGAGAGACCTCTCGAAGGGTGCAGTGGTTTACAGGGAGTGCCCAAGGGAATCCCAAGGTCATGTCTCGGGAGAGACCTCTCGAAAGGTGCCGTGGTTTACAGGGAGGGCCCACGGGATTCCCAAGGCCATGTCTCGGGAGGGACCTCTCGAAAGGTGCAGTGGTTTATAGGGAGGACCCACGGGATTCCCAAGGTCATGTCTAGGGAGAGACCTCTCGAAGGGTGCAGTGGTTTACAGGGATTGCCCAAGGGAATCCCAAGGTCATGTCTCGGGAGAGACCTCTCGAAAGGTGCAGTGGTTTATAGGGAGGACCCACGGGATTCCCAAGGTCATGTCTCGGGAGGGACCTCTCGAAGGGTGCAGTGGTTTACAGGGAGTGCCCAAGGGAATCCCAAGGTCATGTCTCGGGAGAGACCTCTCGAAAGGTGCCGTGGTTTACAGGGAGGGCCCACGGGATTCCCAAGGTCGTGTATCGGGAGAGACCTCTCGAAGGGTGCAGTGGTTTACAGGGATTGCCCAAGGGAATCCCAAGGTCATGTCTCGGGAGAGACCTCTCTAAAGGTGCCGTGGTTTACAGGGAGGGCCCACGGGATTCCCAAGGACACGTCTCGGGAGAGACCTCTCGAAGGGTGCAGTGGTTTACAGGGAGGGCCCACGGGATTCCCAAGGCCATGTCTCGGGAGAGACCTCTCGAAAGGTGCAGTGGTTTATAGGGAGGACCCACGGGATTCCCAAGGTCATGTCTCGGGAGAGACCTCTCGAAGGGTGCAGTGGTTTACAGGGAGGGCCCACGGGATTCCCAAGGCCAAGTCTTGGGTGAAACCTCTCGAAGAGGAAATCGTGTAACATATATAAGAATGGAAAATACTGTCATACTGGCAAGATAAGTTTTCCTGCGTTGCATTGTAACCCAAGGTTCACTATTTCAGCATGGTCCGTGTCTGGATGATTGCTCGTCCGTACGTTACAGAAGCTAGTACTTCTGACACCGTGGCTGATTTTGACACGATGGCGCCAATAGTTGACAGTGTTACTTACCAAGCGGTAAAGTGCAATCCGCCTGTCCAAACACCTCGTGTGCGTCGAAGTCAGTGATGCGTCGGCCAGGTGTGACCCGTTGTAACCTTTCAACTTTGATCTCAAGTCCAAAGCTACGCCGGGGCCTTGTCATCCAGTCCTGGACAGCATCGGTCACATCGAAATGCATCCAGCCTTGGTCATTCCATTGCAGGACGTCGATGTCTAGATTCTGCATACGGGGTCCTGTCATAAAGGGTACACCGTCAATATACAACTAAACAGTGGTTGTTTTATCGTTGATAAATAATGACTGTATGTAATAGTATACAAAAGGTGAACAGGCCAGATTTCCTTGGTGATATTACCACAAAAACTAGTATTTCACAGTGATTTTGTAAAACAAGTGTTATTTACAAGAATTTATTTGAGTTCTGTCTTGTTTTATTTTACGTCATCATTTAGACTAAAGTATTTGTGATACAGGGTCAGTACAAGCACTAAAGTACTTTAATCTGGCCTTTATAACAAATATTAAGCTTAAACTTTAAAATTCAATATAAAGCACAAGTTTGAACGAATACCTCTATATAGAAGAGGAATCAACCTCAATGTGTTTTCTGGCTGAGAGTTGTGCCTGTTTGGAGTACTTACTTCTCATTCTGTTGTGTCTGTTGTTCCGGCGAGGTCTGAGGGCCTGTAGATATTGGAGTACTTACTTCTCATTCTGTTGTGTCTGCTGTTCCGGCGAGGTCTGAGAGCCTGTAGATATTGGAGTACTTACTTCTCATTCTGTTGTGTCTGTTGTTCCGGCGAGGTCTGAGAGCCTGTAGATATTGGAGTACTTACTTCTCATTCTGTTGTGTCTGTTGTTCCGGCGAGGTCTGAGGGCCTGTAGGTACTGATTGACTTCCACCAACAGTCGTACGTTAGCGGTCTCACCAACGGAGCACTCACAATCTGTGGTAAACAACACTTGGTATTAGTTCTAAGATGTGGTAATTCTGTCGTATGGAACTGTTCGCCCTGTGACTCCCTTAACTGTAAGCCATTTAACATTTCTCGTTAGTAGTGGTTCTGAAACCTCCATATTCAATATACCTATTATCTTACCGTTTGTCACTATTGTACGGAGGGCATCCATATATATTAGTCCATTATTGATCAATATTGACTATTGATAATATATATATAGATTTTAGAATCATTGATAACGCGAAAATGTCCATACCGCGATAAGTTTTCAAGAGTAACAACGCAAACATATCTGCTCGCGAGAATTTCCACTGTTTTAGGATATGGGATAATAATTAATTTTATCATAAGAAAGCGACTTGTTTCGTAAAATCATCGCTATGTTAATGTACTTTTGGCCGTGACCTTGTCGCCGGGATTTCTTCTGGCATGTTAACGTGAAATACTTGTTGGAATATAAAATACAGGATGTGTTCAAAAGTTGTAAATTATTGACATCATCAAGGGTTCCCTAGACCACTCTCTCACTTCGTATTTCTTGTTATTTCTAATATGTGGGAATTACCTGATCGTGCCCTGGCAAACAAACTAAGAGTTGCATTCTTTGCTCTGACGTCACCAGCCGGGAAAGGGTCGACTCGGAAGAAGAGATGCATGGAAGCGTCGTCTTGTCGATCCCACATATCTCTGTCTATGGCGTCAGGCAGGACACCTTTATGTAACGACGGATCAGATAATATTTTATATCGTCCTGAGACAAGACACCTTATGTTCCAAGGAGTAGCTCTAGGCGTTGCTATAGTATCTATTTTATTTTATATCATATTATTCCGAACGTCAAAAACAAAAAAATATTCAATCGTAGGCATCATTGTTTTCAATAATTATTTTTCTTTTTGTCCGAGTATACATGTATAACATGGATAAAATGTCATATCTAAACAAACAAATATGATAGAAACAATGAGACATATGCCCAACCTTTTTTGAGCAATCGAATTCAAACTTAGAAATCTCCATTTTCGGAGCATCCTCGGTATCCAGGGGTAGCGCTCCCTTGTGCTTTCTCTACACCCCTGGCATGACAAATTCGAAGACAAGCGGTAAGCTATTTGTTTTTTGGTTTCAAGTGAAAAAAACTGACCAATTATTAGCCCGATACCTGTCGTTCGAAAATTACAGATGAGCAACAACCGACTTCAAAGGCAG